CAATTTACAGTGTCTGGACTTTGATCTTTCTACTTGTGATTGCGGGTTCCAATTAATGTTCTTCCAAGCCTATCTATTTATTCCTTAATTAGATACTTTACATTTTAAGTAGATGTGGATATTTTACTTGAAAAAGACGTAAATAATAATAATCTAACAACCAAGCTAATAATTATAAATGTGATAACTTTGACATTCAATGGTCAATTTCCTTTACTTATGCAGTAATATACCTTCATCACCTGCATACTGAGTTCATATCTCTCAGTTGATTCGAAAAGCTAGGACATGTTCTACATATAAACAAGTTCTAAGACGAGGCAAGTTGTTGAAAAACAAGGTGATGAAGCAAGAATATCAGAGTCTCGTTTAAAGCCATCGTATCATTAAGTTCTACGGTCGAGACAATGACCTTATCAGTAAATGCAATGTAGTATAAAATTAAATGATAATTAACATTTTTTAAGACTAATTGTTAGATCATTATTTACATATTGAATTGTCGTCGGATATTTTCGCTATATGCCGAGCATGACAAAGAGACCACGCCGATTTTGACCTGTCAGTAGGGGATGCTCACTCCTCCAGTGCACTTGATCCCACCTCTGATGTTAGAGATAGTCGTGTTTGCAATGCTCAAATTATTGATTGATTGTATATTGTTTAACCCTTTCTCTACCGGCACATTTTAGGTGATTTTGGAGACTTTTTGATATGACATTATTAAATTATTTCCAACTTTTTTATTCAAGGAGAAAGCTACGTATATTGCATACCATTTTGTAGGGAATGTCTTAGAGATGATATTTTATGACTATTCAGATACTCAACAACTGACCTTATTGGTAAAAATGGAGGTCAAAGGTCAATTAAGTGCAAAATTTTATGGGATTTTTTGATACTTTTTAATCTTCAAGCTAAATATTTACTATGATGTATGTTGAAATAGGAAATTTTGAATATACTCACAAAAGAGCATGATAACGTACTACATGAAACATATAAACTTTTTTTTTCAATTCTGCATATAACTACTTAAATGCGGTTGCTTAGCAACCCAGAATTTTTTAATTTTCGGGCAAGAATTTTCGTTTATTACTCATCCTAGACACATTTATGCATCCCAGCACACATAAAAGTTAGATGTGAGGTCATAACATTATAAGGGATGAACAGCAGATAAATTGTCTTAAAGTTTGACCTCATTAGAACTATTTTTAGGAGGTCAAAGGTCAAATAAGTGCAAAAGTTTCATCAATTTTTTCAACGCTTTTCAATATTCTTGCCATAATTTTACTCAATGGATGCTGAAATGGAAAATTCTGAATATACTCTCAAAAAGGGATCAGAACTGCAATATCCATGCATCATATTAGTTCAAATATCTGTTTAATGACCTTTAAGTGGTTGCTAAGCAACAACTTTTTAAAGTTTTTGGCTATATACATGTTTGTTATTTCACATTCTGGACACATTCTCGACACTTTTTGTATATTTCATGATATTGTATGCAAGGTATGGGCCATAAAGATGAAATAACATTTTTGTATTAAAAATTGACCTTGACTCTTGTTCTTAAGGGGGTCAAGGTCATATCAGTACAGAATTCTGCTTTAAATTGTAAGTAAATATGAATTTTGAAATGCTTCAATCATGGATAAAACATCTAATAGTTGACGTGATAAAAATGGCAAACGACAAAATTTGCAAGCAAAGAATTCTGGTCTGCTTCTTACAAACCCCTAGCAAAACATGTATACAATCTCTTTGTTTAACAAAAAAATCCATTCTCTTGATGCCATTAAAAATAATCTTTATTTTCATGGATTTAATCTAACAAGAAAAAATAAACTAATTGATTTCATTACAAGATTTTTCTGGTATAACAGAGCTTAAGGGGTACAATAAAGACCTGACATGTTATCTTGGAGGGAAATAATAATAATACATAGCATTGGCAATATTTAATGCAAAACTGTTTAGTCAATAAGTTGAAAATGTGACGTTTATATCCAAATATACAAATCCAGAAATATTGCCAGATGAATTCCAAGTCAGACTGAAATCTTCAACAAAATGTTGAAGAGCATTTTTACTTTGTGTCCACCATTCTTTTATCAACTGTCATTTCTCTGTAAGACTGGAGGAAATTCTTTGACTTGTCCAAGACATTATTATTTGCTGTCAAGTACAAGTGATCAGCTTCTATCCTGTAAAAGATTGAAGTAAAACAAATAGCATATATGGCAATCTGACTAAAGCCTCTGTTTACGCTATCGCAACATACGAAAAAATCTGGCAGTGGATGGAAGATCTAATTTAAATAGATTAATTAGATTGCTACGAAAGCCATGAAGGGACACATCAGTTTTCAAAAAAGTAAAAAATGAGATCTTGAATTAGACAATCCAATCCCATGGATTACTAAATCGTTCCCTCGATTTATAATTCGAGATCTCGAATTACACAATCCGATCTTAGGGATTACTTATTCGCCCCCTTGATTCATAATTTGAGATCTCGAATTACATACTGGTAATTTGTTTTCACAGATTAATAATTCAAGATCTGATTTGTTACAACGTCAGTCTTATGATTTTGGCAATCTGTGCTCTTGAATTTCATAACATATACGTACAGATACATTCAATCATTATAATCAATTTGTGCGTTCTATTTATTTTGTTTCAGCAACCGGTCATTTCCAACCTCTTTCATTACTAATACTTGATATCGCGATTAATTAACTTAGCGAAACTCTTTAGCAATGGAGGTAGGAAACGTCTGTTGGCTGGGGACAAATGTGCTATTGAATACAATGCAAGATTGATCATTGTAGAATTTATAAGGACAGATAAGTAAAAAATCTTGGTGGAATACCTTGCTTAACAATCGCTGAACTCGCGTAATTAATTTTTGAGATGAACTAATCCTAAATTGTTACATTTTTAACGATATTTTTAACGAAGCGGACTCTTCTAATTCAATTTTCACTGAAAAATCGCTGCATTTTAAAGCCGATAAAATAATTTAAACTTTCCTTATTTGACAATCTACTATTTGGAATTCAACTCTTGGCAATACATGTACATTGTACTTTAGGCATAAAATTGTTCAAATCATACGATTGTCACTACTGTAAACAATGCCATGTGCCCCAGTAATCTCGCGAGATTTGAGCTTTCTCGACTCCCCTGCAAAAGAGCGGTAGTAAGTTAGATAACTGCGAGGTAATCGCGATATTACGTATTCAACATATATTTATTTTAGAAATATTATGATTACACAGGACCCATACTCACTTTTACTATTTAGGACTTTCAATTATTCTAATATACACTTAACACAAAAACCTCTAAGATTTTTTGTTGTACAAATATCAGTACTAGCATATGGATTTGAAAATGTTCATGTATTTTTCTCATTTTAGACCGTAATATGTAATAAAAGGTAGGGTGTAAAATATTACAATATTCTATTCTTTAAACATGTATTACCATATCCGATATGTACAGATAAATATTTTAATGAAATCATGGGAAGGGTTTATATTCCGAGGAAACGAATCATTTAAACTAAGAGTAATTTGAGGGAACGGATTGATAATCTGCGAGAATGAATTGGCAATTTGTTATGAAAGATTGTCAATCCGAGAGAACGGATTGTATAAATCGAGAACTCTGTTTACTTTTATAAATTTTTAAAAATTCTATGTCCCTTCATGGCTTTCATAGATTGCATACCTGCATGGCTGCCAGGGTTGTAAAAAGAATGGAGACAATAGACTGCAATGTTACTTAAGGGCAAAATTCCTGGGGCAAGGCTGTTCATGAGCATGGGAGTGTTTGATAAACCATCCAGTGAGTTTGACCACCCATGTATATGATGTACGATAATGGGAAAGTGTCTGAAAAATTGAGAAAAATGGAAATTTTAACCACATACTTTATGCAGATTGGAAATACAACAGCAGTCTATAACAGCTTGTTCCATATCTCGGCATTCATTCAAATAGATATTACGTGTTTAAATAATGTGTTTGTATGAATAATCAAGCATCATAAGCATTATGTGTTCAAACGCTTATTCTTCGAAATAATTAAATCAAATGTTTATAAACTTGTATGAATGCAATATCATGAGAATGACACAAATGAAATTTGACTTTATTTTTGAAATTTTAGAAATACAGAAATTTTCAATACCAAAACAAAAATTTACCTGTTAATTGGTGTCCTTACATATTAATTGGCCTTCGTAGTTCATGGTGGGCTTAGCAAGTGGGTATTCACAGATGAAAGTATTGTTGCATATGGTGCCAGCACCCTAAAAATTCAATGTGAAAGTGGTACATGTACACACTGGTATACACATATTGAAAACAACTATTCATTATTATGGCAACTTTGATTTTACTTTGAACTTTCGAGTGATTGTCAATAGCATCAACGTTTAAAAGCAACACAAAATTAGCTGAACAATACGAAATATGCACACTGAAATATGAAGATCTATAGTACGTGTACATTTAGTTTTCTTTTGAACGTGAACTAATTGGCAAGCGGTATATCTAGTCTTCCCGACTCCCGACGCCCGACTCCCGACGGTCCCGGATTTTGGTTTTTTGGCGATTTCTTTTTTATCGGTGCACAGAAAGTCACCAAACTTCTCAGGCATAATTTCTGGGTTTATATGAATTCAATAATACGTAAAAACCCTAACAAATTTGCGTATTTATTACTGAATCAGCAATATCACCTGCCAAAAAGCGGTAAATCTAGTACTCTGTTCTAAATGTTAAAACCAAAAACGGACAAAGATGTAACGCGGAGATGAGAGGTTTCGTTTATAC